ACCACTTCTCAGATCAGTGCAAAAGCTGCTTCATCTTTCCAGATTGAACTCCTCATCCACAAATACTGTCCTACTAACACTCTCTCAGTACAACTAATAAATAAGCTATTTTATTAACTTCTTTTTTTGCTTCTTTTTTCTTATTTTCTACTGCCAGGACTTTCCAAGATTCAGTAACTCTAAGTCAACTACCAAATGCACCTTCTATAGTACCACTCCTTCCCAACTGCTGAGCTGATCAGACTCTGCACTCTTTTATGGGACACTCATCAGTGAGCAAAGTCCACCAACATTTATTAAATGCCTGCACCCAGTGAACTCTGTTACATTATTTAAGCTTTCTTTATTATCTTAATCTGCAGAAGCAAGTTGTAATTTTAAAAAGAGGGTGTTTTATTGGACTTTTTTCTTTCTTTTTGAGACAGGGTTTTGCTAGGCAGCTCAGGCTGGCCTTAAGATCACTTCGTAGCCAAGGCTTGTCTCAAACTCACAATGATCCTCCTGCCTCAAGCCTCCTGAGCCCTGAGATTACAGGTGTGCAACACCACACCTGTCTCTTGCTTTACTGGATATTAATCTAGTCATACATTAATAGTAACTAACATTACATTTTTATGAACACTGATTTTATAACAGCAGCTTTTCTTTAAAAAAAGACATTTTTATAACATTTGTAAAAGAAAAAAAATTACTTAACAATTGCAAGTGCTTAAAGTCAGGTATGGTGGCACATGCCTATAATGCCATCACTCAAGGCTGAGCAGAAGGACTGCAATGAGTTTAAGGTCAGCCTTGGCTACATAGTGAGTTCAAGACCAGCCTGAACTACATAGAGACCTTGTCTCACAAAAACAAAAACAAACAAAAAACAAAAAAGTACTATTAATAATTGAGGGTGCTTAGATTAGTGAAACCTTATCATGAGCAAAGTAACCAAAAGTTTATGCTATGTATCACCATCCCTAATAAAAATGCATCACTACCTAGATTTCCTCTTGTGGGGAAGTTGAAGTAGGTATATACTTTTCCCTACTCTTTCTATTAAGTCCAGGTAAAAACTCTTTAACATTACATGATAGTAAGTAAAAAGATTCTGATATGTACAAAGAAGCCAAACCATACAGGGATACCCAGTTTTTAGAACCTGAAAATTCCAAAGTGAATTTACTGATTTCTTTTTTCCTTACATTCCAGTCTAGGTTGGATACAATGGAAAATGGTTCCTAGAAAAGTCTGCAACTGTAACCTGTAGCCAAAAACAGTAGAAAATGGGCAACCTAGCAAGACAGAGAGCTCTTAGTTAATAACCACTGTACTGCAATCAAACACCACAGGAAACAACTGCAGCTCCTTTCCTACCATGTCAGGAGTGACCAAGTAGGGAAGCTATTCTATTAGCCTAGTAGACTGCAATAAGGCATCCAACCACAACAGTAGCCACATCCCACCAAGGAGTGTCAGAGAAAGCCTAAGTGGACAGACAGGACTTTCTTCTGCACACTTAGGAAGGAACCCAGTCCCCATTTCCCACACAGGCTGGCCAGTGGAGACCACATACACATCAGTGTGGCATACACTGGTCCCCCAGTCAGGAGGCATCAATGACAACCTAAGAGGACCACCATCCAGAAAGAAGTCTCTGCCCACAACTACCAGCACAGATAACTTGATTCAGAAGCAACTCATTTTACTTTATTCAGCACAGGTTTTCTCTTTAGGAAAATAAGGTTTATCTTCAGACCCAAGGTCATCAACTAGTATTCAGGGATTACAGATTTGTACAGATCACTATAGGCAGCTATAATAACTATAAAACAATGGTAACCACTTGTATATCTAACTATGTGCAAAAGGTACAGTGAAAGTATGAAGTGATAGGAAATGTTCAGCTTCATTATCAACTTTATGGGAAAATAGTCATATATGCCATCTATCACTGACTGAACACCATTACCAGATATGTGCATATGAAATTTTAACATATCTAGTTTCCATCTAGAATGACAAAAAGCAGATCAGTGGCTGCCTGGAGCTGGTAGGGAGGAGGGGGACACAGAGGAGAAAAGAGGAGACAAGAAAACTATCCACAGATAATGAATGATCGAATTATTTTGATGCCATTGTAGTTGTACAAGTATATATACCTTTCTCAAGACTCACACAATAATACACTAAAAATGGGTATAGGCTGGCGAGATAGCTCAGCAGACTAAGCACTTGCTTTGGCAAGTGCAGGGACCAGGGCTCGATTCAGCAAACGAGTCCAGTAACGGTGGCACATGCCTCTAATCCCAGTGCTGGGGAGGCTGAAAACAGGAGGATCACTATGAGTCTGAGCTGCATAGTGAGGCCCTGTACCTAATACATAAATGAAAAAAATAAATAAAAGTGGGTGTATTTTTCTCTGTAAATTGTAACAAATACAATAAGTTTAAGTACAGGTGCTTAGAATATCCCTAATACACAGCTGATATAAAAGCATTCAAACAATAAAAGATTATCTGAGATCACTGATATTTTCTATTCAACTTCAATTTTTATCAATTTTATTTATGCAAAATGTTCATCACAGCTCAATTTAATAAACATTTAACTAGTTAGGCATCATATACTAGTATTAAGTACTTAATGCAACATCTTATTTAATACTCATAATAACATTATGACTAACAAATTTCTCTCTTTTCAGCAAGGTGGGATAGGGATAAAAATCTGAGAAACATTAAATAACTAGCCAAGGAGACACAAGCTTGCAAGCCTCCAACATCTAACGGTACTAATCTGTACTAATCTGTTTGCAATTCTTTTTTTTTTTTTTTCTTTTGCAATTTAGGGAAGGGTCAACAGGGTGTTTAGGGTCTCACTACTAGATCAGACTCATAGTGTCCCGCCTGTTTACAGGCTCCCAAGAGCTGGGATTACAGGCCACCATGCTCAATCTCAATTGTCATCTCAGCGCACCCCTGGCATGGCAGACTAAGGGATCAAACTCCCAGCCCCTGCTTGCAGGCACTTTAATCCACTGAGCTACTTGGCCGACCCTAGAGTGAAAATTTAAATCTGCTCTTCTAGGCTTTTATGACTATATCTGTAGTCATACTATAGTACCCCAAACTTCCTGTTCCTGTCTGTGACTTAGTTTGTACTAACCAACCTTTCCTCATCTTTCTTTCCCTCCATCCTCTTGACAGGTTCTGATAAATATCACTGTACTTTCAACTTCAATGAAATTGATTATTGTATTTTTCACATGTAAGACCACTTCTCTGTACATCTGGCTTACTTTATGTAATGGAACAATCTACAGTCCATCCATGATGTCAAGTGACAGGATGCCATTCTCTCTATGTGTGGATAGTATTTCATTGTATATCTCAACCATACATCTTTACCCACTCATCAGTTGATAGACACCATTGCTTCCATTTCTTGGTTACTATCAAAAGGGCTGCAATGAAAATAGAAATGAAGACATCTCTTCAACACACTGACTTTCATTCCTCTAGCTATAAACCTATTAGTGGGATTACTGAATAATACGGTAGTACCACTACAATGAGCTATATGCCAGCCTTTGTTCTGTTGTTTTGCTTTTTTAATTTGGGGGGGGGTGGTGGTTTCAGGAGTGTTGAGGCAGAATCTCCCCAAAATTGCTCAGTTGACCAGGATGAGCTTGAACTCAAGATCCACCCACCTTAGCCTCCCAGAGTGCTGAGATCACAGGCATGCAACACCATGCCCAGCTTATTTTTAGGAAGCACCATACTGTTTTCCACAGAGGCTGTACTAATTCATACTCCTACAAGCAATGCGTGAGAGTTCTCTTTTTGCCACACCCTTGCTTGCACTGAGAGGATAACAATTTTCATTGTTATCTTTAATCTTTTGATAATAGCCACACTCACTGGCTTGAAGTGATAATGAGTTGATGTTTTGATTTGCATTTCCCTGATGATTAGCACATTTAAGTACCTTTTCATTACCTGTTCACTAGTTATATGGCTTCTTTGCAGTAAAGTCTACTGAAATCTAATGCCTACTTTTTAAACCAAATTATTGGTATGATTTCCCTATATAGCTTTCTGCTCCAGTGTTTCTGGCTTATTCTAACCCTTTCAGGACATTCTATCAAACCAGAAGCTATTAAAACAAGTACAGAAAGCACTCATTTCCTTACATAGCACTAGCAATAAAGGCTTCCTGAATAGTGGCTGATATGTGTACCTGGTATGCTAACACTGCCAGAGCTCACTAGAATTTCTAGTTCTACTGTCCCCTGCCACAGGGAAGCACTTAAAACTGGAGGGTAATTATCCTTGCTCTCTCATCCTGCTCCACCATAGAACTGCAAGTTGGAAGGGTCTTGCTATAGACTGAAGCCACCCTATGAGTGTGTAAAGATGTATGGTTGAGTCTCTCCACCACAGAAGTCCAGCGATGGCTAACTGTGCCACATGAACAGCACTTTTCTATTCTGTTATGCAACCACTTGGAGCCTGATGTTGGTACTACAGTGTAATCTGGCCTATTGTGACTGACACAATAAGCTCTCTAAATTCCATAACTTGCAGAATAAATCTTGTGTTTTCAGGAAAATTTCCAGGGATGGAGCAGTAGGAAGACCATGAACAAGATTCCAATTCCTTTTTATGAGGTCATCTAAAACAACTGGGCAGTTCGAACTCTGCTTCCTCTCATAATTATCTTACTATTTTTACACTTCTTCATGTATTTCTGTTCCATTTCTAATCTCTGAAATGTCCTTATGTCACGTGCCTTTTTCTGAAGTTTAATTACATTTTATAGAAAGATTTGATACAGGGCCAGGGAGATGGCTCAGTGGAATAAGTGCTTCCCTGGCAAGTACAAGGGCCTGAATTCAATCCCCAGTTCGA